CTTGTGACTACAATGAAAAAAGAAATGCTTTTGTATCATTTGCCGTCAAACTTATTGAGTTGTTTGTTTAGTTTAATTTGATAATAACTTATTATAGCTCGAACTAGTTTTAATTCAATAGAACACGAATCAAACTCAATTACCTTAATGTTGATTGAATATTATGTTATTAATATTTTTTTTTCTAATTTGATTCGAACTCGAATCGAGCTTCATAATTTATCAAACTTGAAAAATATATATTTAAGCTAATTAGTTGGTTATGTTAACAACCAAATTAAAACGAGATTTTGAATCAACAATCATTGAATAGTTTGATTTGATCCCTAGTTGTGCTCAAAGAGTGTCAATTTATTATGGTGTAGATCACATTAATAATGTGAAAGCTAATTAAATTACATTAATAAATAAGAAAATAAATCCAATTTATTGTTGATTTTGATTTTAAAGCTACGTAGATATAACTTCCACAAATAAGAGCAAAGTTCCCATTTATCATTAATTAAGTTTGCTTATAAAAGCAAAATTATATTATGTAAATTAATATAGAGGGAAAAAATATCTGCTAACTTATTATATGATGAATGGAATATAATTTACATTATAAGGAATATAGTAAATATTCCTTAAAAAAAATAGTGTGCCTTTGGTTACACATTTTATCTTTATGTAGATTTATTTTCATTGTGATGAAAATGATGGACCTCCATTTTTGAATAATTACCAATTTATGCATCTTTTCCTTTTTCTTCCTTTTTTTATTATTTTTATTTTTTTCTATTTAAAATAATAAAATGTATATTCAGATATTTTTTCGATATTATGTATATATATGAATTAGTTACTAGTCTTAGTTATGATGCATTAACAATTATACAACGTTCATGTGAGTAAATTGACTGCGGCACTAACTTATTTCAGAGGCGAAAGAAAAAGAAAATAAATACTAAATTTTCTAGAAAATATATAGTTCTCTACAAAGAAATTCAAAATTAAATCATGTCATAAATGGAAAAAAAACCAAATATAATCAGATTCCAATGAACTTATAAAATGTTTAAAATTTTGGAACTTATTAGACTTGTGTAATTTTGGAATTGTTTCGAGGTTTGAGTGAAATAATGAAATATTACATTCCTTTAAATATATTCAAAAACTCCAATAAATCAATTAATCTAACTAAAAGATATAAATATAAAAACTCCAGAAACGCATAACACAATTCTTGAATCCAAATTAGGGGTGAACAAAAAAATTGAGAAATCGAAAAATCAAACCGAAAACCGAAAAAATCACATATACGCTAAAAAAAATTTAATAACCGAATATATTGGTTTATGTATGGAGAATAAAAAATTTGCCGAACCTACTACCCGAACCGAATCGATTTATACCAAACGGCGTGTTTTGATATATAGTATAACTATTTACCGTCTTTCCCTACCACGCCTCTATCATTCGAACGCCACCATGTGACATGTTTTTTATTAGTTAATTTTGGGTTGCGACATGTCTTTTATTAGTTAATTTTGTGTTGTTATTTGTTAATTTTCTCAAGAAAATATAATGAAAGTCCAAATTCACTGTTAATCAAAATATCGATTTTATGCCACACCGATTCGAACTGATAGATGAAACCAAATCCGAAAATAAATCGAATTAAACACCGACCCGAAAAAGAACCGAATGGGTTCATAAAATATGAACAACCGATTTGAAATCGTAAAGGACCAAAATACCCTACAAATTAAATCTCCTGAATTAAACTCGTAACTATTACCTGAACAAATTTTTAATTCACTTTAGTTCATTTGACATCCAATACTTTCCGAACTTAACTAATTCGCGTAAATGTTCTTCAATCTAAAGACTTGTTTTACATAACCATTTGGAAACAATTCCAAATACTGCTTTGATGCTTGGAGGGCAAGACTAATAGTCAAAAAAATGTTAACTACGAAATAGCTAAAAGTTTTTTTTTTTTTTTTTTTTTAATTTTGGGTGGGCTACAGCCCCCTCCCTCTTCATAGGTCCGCCAGTGAATTTGCTTGAGATCTCACATCTCTCTCTCTCTCTCTCTCCATTGCGATGTCTATTCCTGATTTTTGAAATCCAACAACGGCAACTCTTTTTCCTTAGATTAATTCTGAAGCAGTTTGATGATCCATGGTTCCATGGAGTGTACATTTTCTTTGGATTAATTCTGAAGCAAATTTTTGTAGGGATACATTTAGAAAAATCCGTGATGTGAAGTCGACGGTAGGGTACACGGTGATTCCGTACACCGTTGCCCTATTTGAATCGGCCATGTGGCTCTATTACTGTCTCGGGTATTCTCTTTGGATTATTTTGCACTATCACCTTTGTCATGTATTTTACGTGAAAGGTGACTTGAGGATTATGATCGATGGGTGAATATGCTTTGGATCATTCATCTTAGTCTATTCATCGATTATAGGCACCGTGTTAAAGATTAATATTAAATAGAGTTAGTAACTTTAAATTAAATTTAATTTAATTTATATAATTTTTTATGTACCATTTTTTTCTATATAATTGGTTAGACTTGTTAGGACACGCAATGTGCAGGGTATATCTATCACACTGACATGCGTCCTAACAGCTAATGTTGTCATTTGGGGCATCTATGGCTTTGCCAGAGAAGATGACAATATCTGGGTATGTAAATCCTAATTAACATTACATCTAATTAAAAACTTAATAATTAGTAATTGTTTTCTAATAAAACTTTTTTTTTCATTAATACAGATTCCGAACATTATTCGATTAGTTTTAGGTATAGGCCAGATTGTAATGTACGTGATCTTCCGTACACCACAAACTAGCGAAACTACTGGAGAGTCTCAGACCGCGGAGACTATTTGATAGGTTAGAATATTTTTATTTATTATTTCTTAGTACTTATTTATTTGTTATTATTATTATTAATATATTTTTTTTAAATTGTAGTATGGATAGATGACGTGGATTGCATTCGCTGACACTTGTCAGTAGGAAAAGAAAGAAGAAGAAGAGAGAGATTAAAGGCACAGTATAAGTCTAATATGTGGGGATGTGGACATATTCTGAGTGTTTGGACTTTATTATATTCGTTTAATATATTATGTATTATTTCTATTAACTGTGATTGAGTTCCTAATTGTTAGTAATTAACATTTGAGTTCGGAAAGACTAAATAAATTAATCTTCATCTTATTTTCGTTACTATAGATGTCAATTTAATGGGTTTAATTTATTTATTGAAACGTAACAATATTATTTGCTAGATAAGATAAAATGAAAGCATATATAGACCATAACACACACACACGTGTATATATATATTGGCCATCACGCCTCACTTTTCCCTTCTCTTGTAGCCGGACCATCCATTTTTTCCCCAAAAAAGGACGCCACCCGATGCATGCCATGTGCAATATAACAATGAATTATTCTCTTTTTTCTTTTGTTGGGTCCGTTTTTTAAGGATGTAATTTCCTTAAGTTATTTTACTCCATTTCGACTGTTTAACCTAAAAGAATCTTTTTTTTTTCTTTTTTCTTTTTCTACCCTATTTTTTTTTACTTGCTCTTATATGTTGTTCTTATGAATGTTTTAGTAAAATAATAAATAATATTAGTGTAAAATAATGTTTATTTTTAATGAACTATTATATTAAATATAATAAAGAATATAATATTCTATGTCAGTATAGGGTACAATAATTACAAGTAACATAAAAACTAATCGATGAAATTGATTGAAACAAATAATTTTACATAATATGATATCAAACAAAATGGCCTATACTTAGTTAAATTAAATTTTACTCAAAAAAATAAACGAATATTCTTTTACCATTTTACTAAACTCTATTTTATTTCTGCTACTAAAAGTTTAATAACTAAAATATGTTAATGTAACCCTAAATTAATTGCTATTAGTCCGGTAATTAAAAGGGAGTTAACCAACCTTAAGTAATGACGAGAAGAGTTTTCAAATCTCTAAACATGGGTCCTACAAAAGAAAAGGAATAATTAATATTTTTGTCCATATGATACATTAATTCTTGTAAGATTATTTTTTGGAGTTTATTGCATTTACTACCCCTGTGAAAATCGCAATTGCGCGATTCCCCCATGTCATAAAAAAATTAGCAAATACCCCCCTATGATAACTTTTAGATTGCACACTCGACCCATTTTGATATTGCTCGTTGACCAGCTGTGAAAAGCCGAAAATGCCCTTCGGTAATTAACATACCCACATCGTTTTCACTCGCCCATTTCACCCGTAACCCTAATTGCCATTCTTCCAGAAATCACCCAGCACAATCCTAAATCCCTAAATCCCTAAATTCGTACATCGCTAAATAACAACGGTGCATTAACACAATCTCTTCAATTCCAGAATAGCGAAGTGTTGATTTCAAATTCATTGTAACAACAATACAAGGATAGTGGTAAGTTCGAATTTCAGTACTTCTATATTAAATGTAGTTATGTTGTTTGCAATGTCGTTGTTTATGTTGTTTTGTCAGTCCTTCTAACGTTTATAGTTACGGGGATTGTGATGTTGATATTGTTTGCAAATATTTAGGGGCTTTTATATGTTAGGGTTTTGTCGCATCTTATTGTGAATTTCAAAGCTTGATGTGTTAAAATATTCTTGGGCTTTTCTCAATGCTCTAAAAACTGAAACTTTATAAGTACTTAAATGAATTTTGTTCATTTTTTTTTGTTACAGTGCTTTGAATTTGTCAATTGTATTTTTTAATTATGTTTTTGTTTGTATCTGCTGTCTCTTTTAATAATGTCACAACTTTTAGCACTTATTTTATGCACAGGGACCACTTTCAGACCATTTTTTGATACATGTGTATTTATCAAGACTTTGTTTTTAATTTTTTTTTTAATAGGATGGAACACTTTTGTGCATTTCGTATCTGGATTGATGGGCACTTTGTGCACCACCCTAAAGTGACCTATGTTGGTGGAAAAATGGAAGAGGTCTTCAATGTCAATATGGACTACCTCAACATGGAATATCTGTTCAAGCTATACACTCTGGTTGGAGGAAATAAGAAAGTTGTTAACTTCTACTTCTTGTATCATGGGCAAACACTTGAGATGGGGTTGAGACATATTAAAGGTGACATCAGCATCCACTTCCTTCAAAATGTACATTCAAAATTAGACTGTGTGACATTGTACACAGAGGGGGTAGATGTAGAACCACTCATTACAATTGATGTTTAAAGGAATATAATCATGTCACAGCCAGAAGAAGAGCAACAAAATGAGCTACAAAGAGAGCCAGAGATAGAGTCCCCTATACTTAAGTTGTTGCTTGGTAATGAATCCACAAGTGAGGTACTTGAGCAATGGGCAACAAATGATCCACCAATAAATGAGGATCCATTTATGCATGCAGAGCCTTCCACAGAAGCAAGTCTTTCCACACATTCAGAGCCTTCCACACCTGCAGGCCCTTCCACACATTCAGAGCCTTCCACACATGCAGACCCTTCAACACATGCAGAGCCTTCCACATATGCAGAGCCTTCCATCCATGGAGACCCTTCCACACATGCAGAGCCTTCCATCCATGGAGACCCTTCCACACATTCTGAGCCTTCCACAAACCCTTCCACATATGCAGAGCCTTCAATGTATGATTCAAGCTCTTCTGAATTTGATGATTCCTCAGATGAGGACTTTATTGAACATGAAGTAAATGAGTCATATGCACTTAGTGAAGATTTGGATGACATTGAAGGTTCTGATGATGATGATATATTTGTGGAAAGAAATAATAGCAAGCAAGAGCAGATCAAGAAGTTGAATAGTATGTTGAGGAAGAGTAAAAGACCAATGCCCAAGGTTCATAAGTATAGAATAGATCCAACTGCAACAGGATGGTACAGTGATGTAGATGATGAAGATGATATGGAGGCCTTGAATGACCCATGTACTGACAGTAGAAAGTTTCCTATATACAATGAGGGCCAAACTATGAAAAACAGAAATTTGGAAGTTGGTATGAAATTTCCAAATGTTGATCTGTACAGAGAAGCTCTCCAGGATTGGGTTGTTAGGAATGGTTATGAGTTGGAGCATATGAAGAATGAAAGGAGAAGAGTCACATCAGAATGCAAAGCAAGTGGATGCAATTGGAGAATTCATGCATCTATTGTTCAAGGTGGTCCACTATTTCAGGTATAACATTAGCCTTTTTATTTTATATTTATTTTACATTAAAATATATTATATTCTGCAAATATATATTGTGTGTATTTTAATGCAATAATCTACAATTTGTATTTTAATGATGTAGATCAAGACAATAAAAGGTGAACACACATGTACCCAGGCAAAAATCAACAAACATGCTAATGCCAGTTATCTTGGAAAAAGAATGGAACAAGGAATCAAAGATAACCCAGATATTCAGATTCAGAAACTACAGAACACAATTTTGAGGAAAGTTGGTGTGGAGTCAGGGTATTGGAAGGCAATGAGGGCAAAAAAAGCAGCAATGGACAGAATTAAAGGTCAAGAAGCAGAAGAATATAAGTTGCTATGGGATTACTGTGAAACAATTAGGAGTAGAAACCCTGGTTCTAAATTGTTGCTAAAAAAAGTAGCTGATTCAAATCCACCAGTGTTTGAGAGGATGTACTTTAGTCTGCAATCCATGAAAATGGGATTTTTAGCTGGATGCAGACCACTAATTGGTCTGGATGGGTGTTTCCTGAAATCATTGCATGGGGGTCAGTTGCTTTGTGCAATTGGGAGAGATCCAAATAACAATATTTTCCCAATTGCACTTGCTGTTGTTCCAATTGAGAATAGGGAGATGTGGACTTGGTTTTTGACTGAATTGCTTTATGATATTGGTGGTGTTGAGGAAAAAAAATGGACATTCATATCTGATAGACAGAAAGGCTTACTTGAAACAATAAAAACTGTTGCTCCTGGTTGTGCCCATAGGTATTGTGTCAGACACATTTACCAAAACTTTAGGCAAAAATGGTCTTCTTTGGAGTTGAAGAGTCTGTTATGGAATGCTGCTTCAACTGGTAATGTGAATGAGTTCAAGCATCACATGGTTCAAATTCAGAAGAAAGATAAAGATGCTTTTGATTGGTTGAGTAATATACCACCATATCATTGGACTAGATCACATTTCAGTCAGACATGCAAATCTGATGTGGTGGTGAATAATTTATGTGAGTCTTTCAATAACATGATTCTTGAAGCAAGAGAGAACCCTATAATTAGCATGTTTGAATGGATTAGGACAAGGATGACAAGCAGGCTTCAGGTATAACATTAGCCTTTTATTTTTGTATAACATTAGCCTTTTATACTTTGATACATAATGTGTTATATATTTTATTTTGTAGGTTAAGAAGGCAGGAATGGAGAAGTATGAAGGCAGCATGTGTCCTAACATTTTAAAGAAGATCAATGCATATCAAACCACTGCAAGAGACTGTTCCCCGAGGTGGTGTGGGGGAGAAGAATTTGAAGTAGATTTAAATAGAGACAAGTATGTTGTGTACCTGGACAAGAAAACCTGTTCTTGTGGCTTGTTCCAGCTTATGGCTACCCTTGTGCTCATGCATGGGCATGCATTGTGGAGAGGAGATACAAAATTGAGGATTATGTAGACCATTATTATACAAAGGATATGTATTTAAGGACCTATGCATGCATGATACATGTTGTTCCAGGTCAAAAGGACTATATAAAGACTCAATTTGAGCCAATGTCAGCCCCACTTATAAAGAGAAAGGTTGGAAGACCAAAAAAGATGAGAAGAAAAGCTCCTGATGAGCTGCTTAGGCCTTCTACAAGGAAGGGTTTGACCCATACTTGTAAAAATTGCTTGCAACAAGGCCATAACAGAGGCACGTGTAAGAATCCAACACATTCAAGGTCCAAGCTGTACAAGGTAACATGTGTATTTTTAAATAAATCATTATGTCAATTTGAGCTTTGATTTTGTACTTGGTTTATAGGGTTACACAGCTGCCAACACAAATGATGACAGACCTGAGCAAACACCTCCATCAGTGAACAGAAGTGGACCTGGTCCAGCAAGAAGGAAAAACATAAGTGGCCCTCCAGCTGGACCTGCACCTCCAACAGTGGTGAAATCAAGAACTCCAAGGGCTCCTCAGTTTGTAAGAAGTGGCCCTCCAGCTGCAGCTCCACCTCCAGTTTCCTCTCAAGAGTCTACTGTGAATTCAAGTGCACCTCAAGCATCACAACCTCAAACAGTTCAACCACCACCAGCAAGGGTAAATGCATTTGTAATTTATTTCTTTCTTTGGCTACTTTAGCATTTCACTTACATTGTTTTCTTTTTAAAGATTTACCAGGGGAGGAGAAATGCAGCTCTGCTTGGACAAGGTGTTGAGGTTGGTACTACAAGAAAAGCACCATCAACAAGAAAAGCAACATCAACTGTGGATGGTGTCACTTCAACCAACCCTAATGTACCCAAAAGGCCAAGGAAACTCCAAATATCTGAAGTCCTTCAAAATATCAGGGAGAGGAAGAGAAAGTGGAAAATTTAAAATATAAGAACATTCTGTTTTTTGTGAATTTTGGTAGTAATGGATATATTTCCAAAGTTGTATTTTGAAACAACATACTGACAGCCTTTTGATCACATCTTTTGATGGCTTTGGATGAATGTAATAGTTTATTTGTGACATTATGTTTTTGGGGATGTATTTGTTGATGTTGGTTACTTTTGGTTGGTATTTAAAAGAGTAGTATGTAATTTTTGAAAGGCTTCCATTTGTGGATTTTGTTGTTTGTTGGTTACTATGGGTTGTCATTGCTATATGTATTTTGTTGTTTTTAATTGTTGTCATTGGTTGATGTTCAAACATGTATGGGTAAGTTCAAAAACTAGGATGGTTCTTGCAAAATTATTTTACACATGGTGGAATTTGCTATAACAGTAGTGCACTTTCATTACAACATAATTTACATTTCATTGATTAAAGCTGATAGCACAGGTGAATTAAAAAAACAAACTACATTCATCTTATTTAAACAACAAACAAACCACATTCATATTGATATATAATTGAAACAAACAGCAACAAAACAGAGTTCATTACATTCTTATTGATAATTGAAACAAACAACAACAAAATAGAGGTCATTATATTCTCATTACATCAGAACAACATTAACAAACTACAATAATATTGGAAATTGACAAGCACAAAGAAAAAATATCTGAAATTACACATCTAAATCTTTAGTAGAAGAATTATGACCATTACAAACAAACATACACATATGACCAACAAAGTTTGCAAATTATTTCCATTGCTTCCATTACTTTCAACCACTCCACCCACAGATGTAGTTTTTGAGATAATTTCCTCAGCCTCATGGTTATCCACTTCATTATCGCACCAATTTTGATATTGTACCTTCACCCCAATTGGTTCCCAAGTTTCTCGATTGGGAATACACCATTCAAAAAATTTGCATCTACGAAATTCACACGCATAGTATAACATCCCAAAAGAAGATTTCGTCATCGATTCAACAACCCTTATTGAGGCTTTTGTTTTGCATCGACATAACGGAGACATTGGATACCTCAAATCCATGCGAGGGCTCGAGTTGTTCCTCCTCGACGCATTGTTTGAAGAGTAAGAAGACATGGTTGAACTTTGATTGAAGAGTAGAAGTGAAAATTTGTTTTTCTAGGGCACAATGAGAAAAGGGGTGAAGAGATTGAATAATACTGTCAATGTGAAGAGGAGACATGATGTAAGGGTATTTGGGTCATTGCACACAGTAAATTCTAGCAAATTTCAGCAAAAATCGCAAAAACAACGCGTGAACAACACGAACTCGCCCCAGGGACCTATACAGCTTTGACTAATTACCAAGGGGGGTATTTGCTAATTGATTTATGACTGGGGGAATCGCGCAGTTGCACTTTTCACAGGAAGAGTAACTGCAATAAACTCATTATTTTTCTGATAAAAGAAGTTCTTGTGGGCTTTATTTTCAATGAATGTAACAAATTTATGAAACAATATTATATAATTGAAAAAGAAAAATCGATCACAAGAAACAATAAAAGAATAAAAATTAATCAATAGAGGCAGGTAGGCATTCCCTGCAAATAGAACGGCTGTAAATGCATGTGGGCCCCCAGATTAAGAAAGAAAGGTTAACAAACATAGAAAGTTTTCTTTGTAAGAAGAAATAAAGGTCTCCTATATTCGAATGCTATATATAGCAACTATATTTAATCTTTATTACTATAATTGAGAATAAAATGTGTTTCCAAACAAATGAAGAAAACACTAAGCATTAATGAAGTTATGTAAAAAAAAAAAAAACAAATTGGGTTTTCAGTCACAACTAACCATGAATTTAAATACCTCGCATTATTGGCACATGTGATAGAACAAACTGCATCACAATTATTTCTCCCATGTTCTGGATTTTACGCAATTATTGAGTTGTAAAATGAATTTCTTTTAACGTAAGACTAAACTCATTCATTTTTTTTTATCTTAAATTGGGACGGCCCAAAGTGAGCAAGGTATATATAGCCAGCCGGGTATAAATATTTTCAAGAATCGTATTTAGCTCAGTTGGTAGTAGAGGTGTGAACGAGTCGAACTCGCCTGTTTTGGAAGGCTCGAGCTCGAACTCGCATGAGGTGCGATAAGCTCATGCGAATTGATATTTTCTGGCTCGAGCTCGAACACGCATGAGCTTCGATGATTTCGAGATCGAGCTCGGCACGAGCTTTAAAAATTAGCTCATTAATAAAATAATTCAATTTTTTTTAATAATAACAATAATAATATTATTGTATAATATATTAAATTAAATTAAATAAATAAATAAACAAACAAATAAGAAGCTCGTGAGTCAACTTGCAAGCTATCGAACACTATAACCGAGCTCAAACTCTAGTTCGAGATTTTGTCGTGTCGACTCGACTCGTCGAGTTCACGAGCAGGCTCGGCTCGTTTACTACCCCTAGTTAGCAGTATGACGTTTATATAAATTTAATTGCAAATACCGCCCTGTGAAATCTCTAATTGTCAAATACCACAGGTAAAAAAAATTACTAATGGCTCCCTTTGTAAACATTTTCGTAGCACACAACACCCATTGGATTTTAGACAATAATGGAAATGAAAAAAATGCCCCAAGGGTTTTTCAACAATCAGTAAATCATAATTGTGATTTCTACATATTATATGTATTTTTTGAACTTTATATTTAATTTAATTATACCATATTTTATAAATTTATTATTATTAATTTTATTAACATTATGTGTTTTACAATTTTGTAATTAATATATAAAAAAAATTAAACATATATAGTAATAATATTAGAAGTTTTTATATGTTTTGCAACTTTTCTATTTTACCTTTTATAACAAATAAAGATGATAAAAAAAAAAAGAAGAAGATAGAAGTCGTCTTCTTCCCCAAGCAAATCAACACTTATACAACCTTTATCAAGTCGGTGCCTGCCACTCACCACCAGCTCAGTGCTCCCGCACAACCACCATTTTCTTCAAATCCACAGCTGACAGCCCATTACCAGAATTAAAATGGTGCATGCATGTATATACTCAAGAAACAGAAATTTATATCCAAACACACAAAAGCTCAAGTACACTTCCTGTCACCATTTTCACTCCCTTGGTTGCATCCTCAAGGTTTCCCGGCGAATTGGTTCGTCCAAAATTCACGATTTGTCCAGCAAATCGGTTGTTGTTGTTGAGGTGCAAGCATCGATGTTGATTATGAATTTATGTGTGTTTTCTTCCAAGTATTGACTTTGTTTACATAGGGAGCTACGAGTGAGTTTTTTCTTGAGAGGGGCTTATTTGGCTTATTTACACAGTGGTTTGCAATTAACTCTGTTTATATTTGTTGGAAGTTGCGGGGTCCACCCGAGACAGCAACTCGCAACTTGCCTCATGAAATTTTCTTTATTTTAATTAAAAAAAAAAGGCTAACGAATGATAATAGGCTAATAGTAAACCACTGTTTTGACGTAATAAAAAATAGAACAATTTTATTTCTCTTTATTTTTTTTTTCTAAAGAAGGCTGACTTTATGTTTTTTGCCCCTCCTTTTGTTTTGAAGGCCCAAACAAATAAAGCCAAAAATATAAATAATAAAAAACGGCCAATCTAAAAATAAGGTCAGTAATTAAAAAGACCTCGTTTTCGAGTTTGCCTCAGGCGGGACCTTCGAACAACCTACTTAAACATAAAGTTTAAATAAATATTTGGCGTCAAAATAAAGAGAATTAGGTAATAAGAAAAGAAAAATACGTGATGAAAATAATTATAATTATGCAAACTATAAGCATAAGAGCATCTCCAATCAGTCACTATGGTGGTGTTTGCAAATGCTATTTTAAAAGTAGAAGTTAGTGATTGTGAGTTAAATAGAAAAAACAGGTACATGGATGCATTTAAAAAAGTAGCTTAAAACAACTTATTTCAGAGAAGCAAAAATAAAAGTTAATTTTACAAACACCTAAAACCAAATTATGAGCAAAAAAAAACTCATAATCATTTTGAAAAAAACTTTTGCAAACACCACTTATATCACCATTTTTTAATCTAATTTAAGTGTTTTTAGCCTTCCATCCAAAATTCTTATATCACCTTTACACCTTAAATTATGGAGATTTGATTTAGCCTCCCACCGTGGTCAATCCCCATATATCCATATACCCAAACTCTATTTTTCCACCAATTGTTTTTTTGTGAAGGAATTTTCATTTCCCACCCATCCACCATTTTCCTATTTTTTCCACCAAGTCCTATTTTTCCTACCAAGTATCATTAGTAGAAAAATTGCTTATTACTACGAAATTTTCCGTTGGGGTAAAAAACCGTAATAAATATACTTTATACTATAGAACAATTTTGAAGTCATAGTAAATACTAGGATTTACCGTAGCAAAAAAAGTATTTGGTACGGCCATTTACCGTAGCAAGACTTTTGTCACTCTCGTATATATATGCTACGGGGCAAATTGGTAGCAAAAACCTTTTTAGTACTAATTTAATACCTTTTGCTACGGTTAATGATCGTAGTAAAAAGTCATTTTTCTACTAGTGTATAGAGGTGAAAATAGGTTTTGGTGTAATTAACATCAATTTATTAATTAGTATATAGATGATGATTTTAACCAATTACACTTGATTACCGACTTATTAGCATGTATTATTAATAAAAATATTAATTCTAATAATATAAATATGCTTATTTTTATTTAATTTGTATAATTTATGTTGTAATATTTTTATTTATGCAATAATTTATGTGATTATTGTTTATGTATGATTTTATTATACGTAAAATAATTTGAGCTCATGTTATTTCATATTTAGATAGTTTTTTTAAATGAGATTTTTGCCCATAAGTCCCTAACCAATCATCTTTATTATTCTAGGTTTAGGGGCTATATCTCTTTCACCAATAAGCCAATCCCTTTAATATTTATTATAGATAAAAGAAAAATTCATGTATATGACAAAATTACCCCCAACCCTTTACATCCAATTCTTAATTGTAACCGCAATTTAATCAATTTTGACCACAAAAATCCAATTTTGACTTTATTTTTTCAATTTTTTTTATCAAAAAATATTTTTTACCGCCGGATTTCGGCGTTGATTTTTTTTAGTGTTTTTTTTTTTTTTTTTTTACGCCCGCCGCTAAACGTTGACCGTAGTTGTGCTGTCAACGGTAATTATGCTGTCAGTGACAGTAAATTAACGTAATTATATTGTCACCGAGAGTACATCAACGTAATTAGAGTCAATGACAGTATTATTATTATTATTGTTAATTTTTTTTTGTTCTTTTTTTTTAACTTTGCTTGATTTGTCGACAAGTCAACGTAATTATATTACTGTCGTTGACAGTAAATAACGGTAAACATAATAATATTATTGTCAACCACATCAATATTATTATTTTTTTTAGGTTTTTTTGTTTTGTTTGAGTTACTCACTGAGTAACACAATAATATTACTGTCTAATATTGTAATATTACTGTAAACACACTGTGGTTGACGGTAATATTAGTGTTGTTATAGTAATTTACTATCAACCACATCATTATTATTATTTTCTTGGGTTTTTTTGTTTTGTTTGAGTTATTCACGGAGTAACGTAATAATATTATTGTCTATTATTGTAATATTAATGTGCTTGACGATAATATTACTGTTGTTATAGTAATATTACTGTCACTCACTGTAATATTAATTATTTTGGCTTTTTATTATGTTTACATTTGTTGAACGGCCAACATATTAATATTACTCTATTACACAATAATATTGACTTATGTTGCGTTAATATTACTGTACTAGAGATTAATATAGCAATATTACTATGTTAAACTGTAGTATAGTTAATTTGTTGCGTTTAACAGTAATATAGTTAATATTACGATCAATCATAGCAATTGTTGTTTAAACGGGGGAAAATATGTTAAAGAAAAAAATAAAAAGATCGAAAAAGTCAACGCCGGAAACCGGTGGCAGAAAAATCAGGAATGAAAAAAAAAGAGTCAACGTCAGAGATCGGTAGAAAAAAAAAAGAAAGGGAGAAAAAGTCAATGCAGGAGACCGGCGGTCAACGGTTGTGACAGACGAAATTGTCCATAAAAATGTGTTTTGCTTCAAAATTGAATAATTTGTGAAATTTGGGGTCAAATTGGGGTTAGATTAAATTAAATGATGAAATTGGAGCATATTAAAGTATGAGGGGCTATTTTAGTCTTTTACAAACATCTGAGCCATGTGTGGACTTTCTAGTAAAAGAGTTTATTGTTTGGATCTCTTTATAAATAAGTAGTACCCAGTGATGGACGTATTTGTAAATTGCCCTTTTTACATTGATACATAATGTTTAAATTATATAATTAAAAAAAATATTACTCAAAATTTGATGTATAATTGATATTTAGGGAATAAACTATACTAAAATTACGATAAATATTAGATTTACCGTTTTGGTATATGATGAAATGCCGTGTGAGACCGGCCGCCGTTTCCCAACCGTGGGACTGGGGAATGGGCCCTATTCTCATCTCACTATCAGGTCTAGATTAAGGCGAAATCCATGGGAGACACAAACACCATTTACCACAAGAGATGGTGGCCGGGTAAAATGGTGTACCACTAGTGAGAGATGAACCAATTTCTTCACCATAAAAAATAAAATCTGGTGAAATCGGTTGGAGATACTCTAACTAAATCATGCGAAAAATTGTGTAAATACACTTTGGGCTCATTTGCTATACTTTATCCAGGGGTGATAAATTATATTTTATTAATTATACCATGTTTGCTTGTAATTTGCTCATTGTGGACTAATTGTGGGTCCCACCCACCAATCCCACAACACTATTATATTGCTGTCCCAGGGGGGAGATGAGATTCTCCAATCCCTGCTTAAATCTCCATGGCCCACGTTTAATTAAGACAATAAAGTCCCGAATTTGAAAGATGATAAGACGACAAAACCCTCCAATTTCTTCATATTTACCACCACCCACATATATAAATGTTTTTTTTTTCCATTTAATCACCTCCAAAACCCTAGCAGCTGAAACTGAGGGTAAATTCTGCATCTTCCTTTATCACATTTTTTCTTTGATTTTGTTAACCTATTCTCAGTCATAAATTCTCGTCACATTTTGTAGACATAGATCGATTCACGGTTTTTCTGCAAGTGGATTTCTGCGTTTTCTGGCGTTTCGTTTTCTGAAGAAGTTGGTAAGTATGGTTATTTGCTCTTTGTGATGAATGTCTGAATGTTTGTTTGTTTTTGTTAAATCATTCCATTATATTTTTGAATCATTATGCAGTTGAGTTTATTATCTGGGTTTTATCCATTTTTGTCTATGCATTATTCTAGAAAAAAATGTGGCGTCGATTTTATTGGGGTTTTTTTAAAAGATAATTTTATTTGTGTTTCTGATTAAATATTTATCAAGTTATGTGGTTAGATCTGAATGGTATTATGTGGTTAGAATGTTCTTGCTTAACTATGTGTGAGTTCATTCTGGTAAATAAGTTGTCGTTTACTAAGTACTGTGGTTTTAAGGTAATTTTATTTGATTTTTCGATTGCATTTTATTCAAGAAATTACGATCTTAAATTAATTATTAGTTCGATTTATACAGTTTCCGATTTCCAACCTATGGACACTGTCACCGACGAGGGAGAGGTTATTATTGTGTTGGATCAAATTTTGGATATCAAGTTACGCTTACTATTGTTTCTTCGTATTTATATGTCTGTTGGGCGGCGTCGTTTAACCAATACACCAAACAATGGGAGAACATACAGCTTAATAGCAAAGATACCTAAACAACAAGAAATATTGCATGATCTGGTGGGTATTGACGATGTCACGTGTAGGGATAATCTTAGAATGAATATGGACACTTTCAAACGCTTGTGTTATCTACTTGAACACAGGGGTGGTCTTTTAGCAACCAAAAATGTTCAAATACCCGAACAAGTTGCAATGTTTTTGAGTATTTTGGCTCACCATACAAAAAATGTTGTTATTCGTTCTTCCTTCAAACGATCTGGATTCACTGTTAGCAAACACTTTAATAGACTCTTAGCTGCACTTCTTAAGTTGCATTCTATATTATTGGTCACCCCCCAACCAGTTTCAGACGATTCCGATAACCAAAGGTGGAAGTTTTTGAAGGTATAATTTAATATTGCATATTGTATTTTCTTGAAAAATGAATTTGAAGATAAAATAACTACATTAATAAATTAGTGTATAATTTTTCCTCAAAGGGTTGCCTTGGTGCACTAGATGGAACATACATTAATGTTAGGGTGTCTCGAGCTGATAAGCCAAGGTATAGGAATCGAAAGGGTGACATAGCCGTCAATGTTCTTGCTGTTTGTGATGTTAACATGAATTTTGTATATCTGCTGACTGGATGGGAGGGGTCCGCTGCGGACAGTCGAGTCCTTCGTGATGCTATTACTAGGTCTAATGGTTTAAAGATTCCGACGGGTATGAATCTTTCTTATTGCTGGAAATACATCCACATTAATGATACCTTAAAATAAGAATACCTAAAACTTATCTAATTTGTACGTACAGGTCATTACTATCTTGTCGACAATGGTTATACCAATGGAGATGGTTTCTTATCACCTTATCGGGGAAAAAGATATCATCTTCAATATTATGGTCAAGGTACCGATGCACCTCAAAATTATATGGAATATTTTAACATGACACATGCAAAGGCACGTAATGTGATAGAAAGGGCATTTGGTATTTTAAAGTCCAGATTTGCAATTCTTAGAAGTTCTGCCTATTATCCTATCAAAGCTCAAAATAGAATTGTAATGGCATGTAGTCTTCTTCATAACTTCATAAGGACTACGAATGATTTTGACCCCGAAGAAGCCGTTGTTCCGGAAGACCCAGAAGAATCTGATGATGATGAAGAAAATGACAACAATGATGTCAATGATGCTGAATACATCAATGTTGTTGAACCATCACAACATTGGACTAATTGGAGAGACAACCTCGCTCAAGAGATGTATAATGAATGGCGTACCGGCCATTAGTTGTTTGTTGATTTGTTGTGTTTGATTAATGTTGTACTTGATTATTTTGTTGAATTTGTGTACTTTTTCGTGCTTCTGTGTTTGTTGTACTTTTCTATTGGCTGAACAAATTTAATTCGGTTGAATGATATGTATTGTTGTACTGAAATTGCCGGTTTTTTTTATTGGATTCAAACTTATATTCGTACTTATAAAATGTTTAGGATCCTAAATAAATGCAACAGTTTGTTTTGAATTGTAGCTTCATGGATCGAACTGGTTCATCGTCTAAGGTTGTAACTTCAAAAGGGAGGTCTACTAACACACGAAGGACATGGACATTGCAAGAAGAACAGGGATTGCTTCAGGCATTGAAGGACATTGTTGCACGCGGGTGGAAGTGCGATAACGGTTTCAAAACGGGATACCTTGCCACACTTGAGGGGGCTATGTCGGTGGCATTTCCGGGCACAGATTTGAAAGCCGAACCACACATACATTCAAAAATACACGTGTGGAAGAAATACTACGGTTCCTTAAGTACTATGCTTTCACGGTCAGGCTTCGGTTGTAATGATTCGTCGTGCACTATTGACATGCACGATGACCAAGTTTGGGCAGACTACATTAAGGTAAGCTAATATTGTCTAAGAAACTTATTTATTTTCATTTGCATATGCTTAATTGAATACGTTTACATAATGTAGTCAGACACCCACGCACGGACCATGCGTTTCAAAGCATGGCCATACTACAAAGATTGGGTAATTATCTTTGGCAAGGACTGTGCTACTGGAGAATATGCTGAGGCATTCAATGAAGCTGTCAACAACTTGGTACATCCTACGAAGGGGAATGAACACACTGTATTTGGAGGTGACGACTATTCGTTTGTTGATGCACCGAATGATGAGTTCAGCAACGACCTTATGTCAATTGCCGGGGCAGACAGTGCATCTAGTTCGAAGAGTAAGCCTAAATCTAAAAACAAAAGAGGAAGGACCAATGACATCGATGCTCGCTTGGTTGACATGATGTCCACTTTCTTTGACAAAGCAGATGACAAGTTGGGCCGTATAGTGAATAAAATTGGATTCGAGTTTGATGTATCCGAGTCAAGGAAAAAGGTTTTTGATGCACTTAATCCGTTTGAATTCTTGAGTGGTGAAAACAAATTGCACGTGACAAAGGTAATATGCGAAAGCACGAAAAACATGGACATATTCTTTAGTGTCAACGAAGATCACAAGGCGATTATGGTTAATATGATTCTTAACGGTCGGTTCTAGCTAGCGTATGTTTTTGGTGTTTTATTCGTATGAACAATTACAAACAGTCTTAATTTATAGGTGTAGTATATTAGAACTAGTACATGGCTATTAAATTTGGTGTTGCATCACCAGTGTTTTGTTGTATTAAATTTGGTGTTGCATCACTAAGTTGCCCATGTTTCACCATATTTTGTTATATTACAGGTGAAGCATATTAGGTGTAATGTAATTGTTAAACGATGGTGTTGTAGCTTATGTTGGTACGATACATTTTAAGTATTTTAGTTTGACTTTTGTAATTTGTATTACTGGTACAATTATTAGATATTCCATTTTCTTGTAAATTTTGCTTCTTACATATCTCGTACTTTGAATTTAAAATAGAAATAATTTTTTTAAAATGCGAGGAAAATTAATATACTGCGTGGAATGTTGCAATAATACATTCGTATAGAATGGACAAAATATAGGCATAGACAAAATACTCCAACGTGTAGAATGAAAAAAGAGTACTGCAACTTTTTTCAATACCCAAAATATAGGCATAGACAAAATACCCGAAAAGAAGATAAGTCTAAATTAAAACAACATACTGCCGCCCATAACTAATAACTAGTAGAATGGGAAAATGAATACAACAAAAACTAGTTTAATTAACATGAACCCATCATTTGTTCGACGATTTAAACCCAAGATCTGGTTGGTTAGATCCAGATGAGCTCAACAATTCCCCATCCGGATTGATTCTTTTCATGTATACGATCCTCTTGTTCAAATGAGAACGGTACCGGGCTTCACTTTCGTTTTTCCGGGTCGAATTTGCTGTGCTAAATTCTGTGCCTCTAGAACCCTCTGAATCAGAAAAGTTTGCCAAGTATGCTGCCACGTTAAACTCTACACTAGTTGATTTTCCAGACGAAATGTTTACAACAGAAGTTGACGGGGTTGGGTTGAGGGGCGCGGTGTGCAGTGTTGTTGGGCCGTCCTCGTCATCCGATGATACGACAATTAGTTCGGTGGTGACTGGGGCTGTTTCGAAAAGGTGTTTCAGCTCCTGGTATTTGGGCTCCCCCTTCGTTGTGTATGCAACTGCGAATTTGTTATGCTGCGTAACACATAAACATGACATATAATCTTTATATCTGATGATATACATTTATCTACGAACGAAAAAAATTAAGTTAATTTACTTATACATAATACGTGTACCTTCAAAATAGATTCCATTGTCTCTTTCAAGGCTGAAATGCGGTTAGTCGTTGCATCATACGCAACTCTGTCAATTGATAACATCCATTGGAATGTTTTGAACCTTTTTCTCAAGAACGCAACACCTTTTGGCTATGTATGCCAAAGAGAAAAAAAGCCCAATTTTTTTGTGGATTGCTCCTTGAGCAGAAAATAATGCCATAGTATTTTTAGCACCACTTTTAAAATTTTCCAACCGAGATTCAAACAACAAAACTTCAATGAAATAGTTATCAATTGTTTCATTCCAACCTAATTGAAACTGAAAGTCTTCTGGTCGGACAATGGGTTTCATTGTCAGTGGCATATTTTTTTTAGTGTATATGCAATTGCAACCAATGGATGTTTAATATAAACACCAACAATACTTATATAGATGCAATTGGTAATTTACAACCATCATAAATGCATTGATTTTTCACTTGTACTCAACCTACTAAGCACATATGGCAGTAAATGCGATGGACATGTTTGATTGACAACTCAAGAATATCCATGGAATTAAAAGAAGAAAAAAAAATTCGAAATTTTAGCAGTACATAAGATTTGATTTTAATTGAATTTACCATTTACAACATTCTTTTACATGTACACAAGAATTTTCTGTATAGTTATCATTGCATTGGAACCACACAAATTTAGAAATTGGTACTTGTGTGAGGTTATTAAAGGCTGGTTAAAGACATTGACCTACCAGAGTTGGATAAATGTCTCATCGTTAACATCAATACTCAATTAATGCATGAGTAAAGTCTCATCAGTTTTGAAATGCCAAGAGCCATAATTATTGTGATAAAACGTGTGGGAATAAACTTACATAATTACTCATTTAATGAACCTCAACTACTAGTTTCATGCTATTTATACATGTTTCTCATTCAATTAATCCAACACACAGTACATCTTTCATATTCTATATTCTGAAAGTGCAAAAACAATGCCTCGTACCAGAAATAAGTGCATCAATGACCTTTTCAATGGTATGGATTGGCCACTGTGCTACGATCAAGTACTAATGCGGTCAATCTATGTCCATACTAAGAGGATGGAGAACCTCGAATCTTTTGAGGTGTTCAATGGAGTGCTAGTGAGTGTTACAAAGGTCTTACAGGAAAGGATATCGAAGAATATAACTCTGGAGGAGGTCAAACTACGTGTTCATGCACTTCGAAAGCGATTTTATGCATTTCTAAAGTACATTTCAAGCAACGGTGTCAAATTTAACCCGTGCTCAAAGGAGCTAAAATTTGATATGCCACTATTCACCAAGGACAAGGCTGTAAGTTTCTAAACTATAAGTATTTACTACTTTCATGACTAACAAAAAAATATTGAAATGATTTATAATAAAATGGCAGGAGACAATGGAAGAACGCTGGTTTCGTGTCAATGGTTTCCCTCTTTACGAAACATGTATGGTCGTATTTCACTTCAAGAATGTTGCCCCCGTTGATTTTAGTGGAATGACAGGATATAACATTGACGAACCACTGATTATCGATGATGGTGAAGAGAAAGAAGACGACGTAAACATTGGTGCACAAGAGGCAAAAAAGGATAAGGCAGTTGAGGCTACTGCAAACGAAGTTGGTGGCTCGGTGGGAGCAGAGATAGGAGGCTCGATGGTGGTATATGTTGGTGGCTCGGTGGGGGCAGATGTGGGTGGCTCGGTGGGAGAAGATATAGGAGGCTCGATGGTGGTACACGTGGGTGGCTCTGTGGGGGCAGATGTGGGTGGCTCGGTTTATGAAGATGTGGGTGACTCAGAGGAGGAAGATGCGGGTGGTTTGGTTGAGGAAGATGTGGGTGACTCGGAGGAGGAAGGGTCTATCAACAGCAACAACTCGTTTATAATGTAATGGGATCGTAATGTTTCTACAACTCGTTTATCTACCTAAGTTATTAGTGGTTCTACCTAGTTCATTCCATGGACTGTTTCCATTAAGATAAACTAGCGGCCGTTAAAGGCAAATTTTCTAAAGCTTGGTTTGTAAGATATTATGTCAACCCCTTAATCTAGTAGTAAAATGTTCTAAGTTTAATTAACATTAGCTATTTTAAATGCATTTTTACTGTTAAGTGAAACAATGATGTTCAACATAAAGCACAAACATACGTAAAGCTTCACAACGTCAATATAACCGATTAACCGATGAACGATCCCAAACAAACAGAAACCACATCATACACAATCAATTACCAAACAAAACACAGCAGGCAAACAATATTGTTGCAACCATGAATGTAATTTTAATATAGAATAAGATTGATACGTTACCAACATGGTTAGGTGTAATGTGATTTCCTTCGGAAAGCTCTCGTTTTGCCGTTTCCGAAATCTCTCTTTTAGTTGCTTCCGAAAGCTCTCTCACTGCAACTTCCAATTCTGTTTCTAAGGTTTCGATTTTTCTCAGTAAACCCGGTATTATCTGCTTTGCTCGTTCACAAATAGCTGGATCACACCATACGAATAATCCACAACTTTATTTCTGCAATTAAATAAATATCATTAAAAATTACATAAGTTTAAGACACTAACATAGACAAATACGCCAAAATTTTTGAAAATCTTTAACTTTTGTAATTACACAAAAAAAAAAAAAATTCGAATCTGGAAGAGCAGACCCATCACTTTTTATCAACAATTCGAAAATCATTTTTTCATTTATACCAACAATATTTTTCTGAGGAAGAAACAGAGGATTCAACAAATTTACCCCTCGTCGTGGGCAGGCAATAAAACGCCGACCAGGGTTGCTCGCCGTCCAGGACGTCTGCACCCGTAATTTCAATTGACATTTGCAGAACTCTGGATCAGTCGGCACCTCGTGAGATCCACCAAAATTGCTGCGATTGTAGTCCCGTTCACATCTGTTGTTTCTAGAACTCGTCGACATGACTTCAAATCAGCTTGGAGGAGTGGGTGTTTACTGTGCGAGAATAATGGCGGAAACCCTATTTCATAATTTTGGGGAAAGATGAACGCAATTTCTGGTGAGGGGAGGGGGCTCATAAAAATATGTAATGAAGTTTGAAGGGTATTTTTGGGAATTAATAATCAATCCTCGTGAGTACCCAAAAGCAAACACCAAATTCACTATCACTCACATTATCTTCATTAGAACCAAACATGGGGTTCAAAAAATTATATAGTACTATCTATCCCAAAATTGTATAATCAATATTTTTGATTAATCCTCTCATACAAAGCAAAAGAGGCCTTTGGAGATAAGCAAAACAAATGATAATAGCAAATCACTGTTTTGACATACTAAAAGTTAAACAAAGAGTTTTTTTTTCTCTTTATCAAACAACATTTCGAAACGAAAATTTGGTAATGAGAAGATAAAATAAAAACAGAGACATTATCAAGGATAATTACACTTTTTGTCCCTATACTTCACACATAAAACGATTTTTGTCCTTAAACACTGTTCGCCATGATTTTGGTCCTCAAACTTGTCACTTTTTTTTGATAATTTTAGTTTGGTCGTCAAATTTGAGTGTTATGTTGGATGGAGTCGTCACGTGCACCTCACGTGACGCCCATTTGGCAAATAAAAAATGAGCCGGAAGACACAGATTAGTCCTCATTCTCTCTACCCCATTCCTTAACCCAAAACCCTATGTAAACCCCCAAATTCACCTCAAAACAGTCATCTTGAACCATGGATTAAGATTCTTGATAAGAAATTGCAAGTTTGATTTATAGATATTTATTTCATCAACCTGGTTGGATAGGAAATTTTCCGCAACTTCTTTAATTGAAA